GGGCGTGGCCTAACGGGAAAAGGGGCGTGTCCCACCTGGAAGAGCCAGCGCAGCACCTCCCCCTGGAGCCGGGGGTGCCTCAGGGCCGCCCCCAGCAGGGCCAGCACCACCCCGGGGTGGCCCCGGGCCAGCGGCTCCTCCAGGGCGGGGCCCAGCTCCGACAGCACCTCCTCCACCTGCGGGGGGAGAGGGACACGCCCACCTGTGATTAGCCACGCCCCCTCACGATCCCCCCCGGCCAATCCCCTTGGAGGCATCAGCCGAAGCTCCGCCCCTTTGGTTTTGGAGCTTTAAGCCACTCCCACCACCCTTGTGGCCAATCAAAAGCTCCCATTAAACCACGCCCCTCTTAGCTCCTCCCCTTTTATACCCCACCCATTTAAGCCCCTCCCACCACCCTCCCAGCCAATCATAAACTCCCATTAAACCATGCCCCTCTTAGGCTCCTCCCCTTTTATACCCCACCCATTTAAGCCCCTCCCACCACCCTTGCGGCCAATCAAAAGCGTCCATTAAGCCACGCCCCTCTTAGGCTCCTCCCCTTTTATACCCCACCCATTTAAGCCCCTCCCACCACCCTTCCAGCCAATCAAAAGCTCCCATTAATCCACGCCCCCTTTAAGCTCCTCCTACTTTGAGCCCCACCCATTTAAGCCCCTCCCACTGTCTTTCTAGCCAATAGTAACTTCCCGTTAAGCCACGCCCCCTTTAAGCTCCTCCCACTTTAAGCCCCACCCATTTAAGCCCCTCCCACCATCTCCCAGCCAATAGGAACTTCCCGTTAAGCCATGCCCCCTTTAAGCTCCTCCTACTTTGAGCCCACCCATTTAAGCCCCTCCCACTTAAACCGCATCCCTAATTTCCATATTTAAATTGCTCCTGCATAAGCCACGCCCCTAATTTTATTATTTAAGCCCCTCATACTTTAAGACCCACCCCTAATTTCCATATTTAAACTGCTCCTCATTAAGCCATGCCCCTAATTTCCATATTTTAACACCTCCCACATAGCCCCCCCACCCCTAATTTTAATATTTAAACCCCTCCCACTTTAGGTCCCATCCCTAATCTTCATATTTAAACCCCTCCCACTTAAACCAAGCCCCTAATTTCCATATTTAAACCCCTCCCTCTTGAAACCCCACCCTAATTTCCATATTTAAACCCCTCCCACATAATCCCCACCCCTAATTTTCATATTTAAACCCCTCCCATTTAAGCCACGCCCCTAATTTCCATATTTAAATTCCTCCTCTACAACCCACCCCTAATTTTAATATTTAAACTGCTCCTGTTTAAGCCAGGCCCCTAATTACCATATTTAAACCCCTCCCTCTTTAAACCCCACCCCTAATTTTAATATTTAAACCCCTCCCACTTAAACCACGCCCCTAATTGTCATATTTAAACCCCTCCCACATAATCCCCCACCCCTAATTTTCATGTTTTAACCCCTCCCACATAATCCCTCACCCCTAATTTTCATATTTTAACCCCTCCCACATAATCCCCTACCCCTAATTTTCATATTTTAACCCCTCCCACATAACCCCCACCCCTAATTTTCATATTTAAACCCCTCCCACTTAAACCACGCCCCTAATTTCCATATTTAAACCCCTCCTACATAATCCCCACCCCAATTTTCATATTTTAACCCCTCCTGTTTAAGCCACGCCCCTAATTTCCATATTTAAACCCCTCCTGTTTAAGCCACGCCCCTAATTTCCATATTTAAACCCCTCCCTCTTTAAACCCCACCCCTAATTTCCATATTTGAACCCCTCCCACATAATCCCCCACCCCTAATTTCCATATTTAAACCCCTCCCAGGTAAACCACGCCCCCAAAGGCCCCTCCCAGCTAAGCCCCGCCTACCACGTCCTCGGGGGCGTGGTCCAGGAGGCGCTGCAGGCCGTGATTGGCCACGGGGTGGGAGGCCACGCCCCTCAGGTGACCCCGCAGGTGACCCCGGAAGAGCTCCCGGAGCCCCGGGGGGTCCAGGGCCGTCATGGCCGCCTCCAGGAGGCGGGAGTGGGCGGGGTCCTGCAGTGACGTCAGCAGAGGGCTGGGCCAATGGGAGAGGAGGAGACAGAGAGGGCGGCCAATCAGAAAAAAGGAGTCGGGGGAAGCGGCCAATAGGGATAAAGGAGGCGGGAGAAGTGGCCAATAGCAGAGTAGGGGGTGAGGGGCACGGCCAATCAGCAGAAGGGATCGGGAGCAGCAGCCAATCAGAGGAAAAGGGTCAGGGAGAGCGACCAATCAGAGAAAAAGGATTGGGAGGACTGGCCAATCAGAGAAAAGGGATTCAAAGGAGCGGCCAATGGGAAAAAAGGGATCGGGAGGACCGGCCAATCAGAGAAAAGGGATTCAA